AAGTGTCCAAGGCCAGGTTGGACAAGGTTTGGAGCAACCTGGGCTGGTGGAAGGTGTCCCTGACCATGGCAGGGCATTGGAATGACACGAGCTTTAAGATCCCTTCCAACTCAAACCGTTCTGGGATTCTGTGACCATGCCTGTGCCTCCAGGTGAGAGAAGCAAGGCAGAGCCTGTGGGCTGGGGGAGGAGGGATGAGCACTGCACTCCCCATGGGTGTTTGCACACAGGAGCATCCCTGCAGTCACAGCTCAGCCAGAGCCAGCTCTCACCCAGCACCCCGGGTCTCCTCACCCCCTTCCCCGTGCACAAACCCCACACCCCCGAGGGTGGGGGACAGGGGAGCCCCAGCCCTGCACACACACACACACACACACACACACACTCCCCCACACGCCAGCAGCCTGGCACACAGAACTACATGGCCACAAAATCTGGTTTGCCTTCTCTCATCCTCCCCTCCTCGTGCGCTCCGAGCTCCTGATTGACTGTCAGTGGCTTTGCCTTTTCCAAGGGAACCCCGCTGGCTGGTGGCATGTCTTTTTTAATTTATTTTTTGTTTCCCCCCCCTCCTTTAAATGTACTTCTGCGTGTGGGAACGAGTATAAATCCATTGTCTCTCATCACCTTGTTATGATCTAACAGGGGCAGGGAGGCAGTGGCGTTCCCCTGCGCCGAGCATTTTAATTCCTGATGATTTCTCAGGCTTGATCTCCCCCGATACGTCGTCAGTGGTTGTGGTCCACTGTTTTGGCCGTGCACGGCTCGGGGAGCAAACAATGAGCCGTGTGTTTTGCGGGCTCCCAGCCACACATGGTCGGCATTAGGGGCAGGAATGTGACTTCCCATCCGAAGTGATGAGCCCGAGCCACGGGGCCGGGCTGGAAAACACTCCCCCAGAGAGGGGAGGACGTGGAAAAACCTGCCCGGAGGTCTCCAGTGGAACTGCTGAGGGGACTCAGGGCCCAGCACCAGCTGAGAGTAGGGTGAGGGTGGGTGTTAGGAAAGAATCCTTCCCTGGGAGGGTGGGGAGGCCCTGGCACAGGTTGCCCTGAGAAGCTGTGGCTACCCCATCCCTGGAAGTGTCCAAGGCCAGGT